AGAGGGTCGTGAATATTCTGAATTGGCCAGCGTGATCCAACAAGTGCAAACCTAGTTCATTCGATGGGAGGGAGAATTAGCTTTCCACTAGTCGTTCCTAAAGTATGAATAGTACCGCAATCACATATTAAAACGCGCCGCGCACGTGTCACCATTCGTGTTGCTTGCTTGTGCGGGATAGTTTTCTTAACGTAGAAAACATGGAAATGAACAATGGCCTTTTCCCACCATAAGGGTATTAAAGGGTAAAAAAATCTGGGTGATAATTCCTGCCTCGAAGAGCGACACGCATTCTGGTTGATCTCGGAATCACAGCAGCAGTTGAAAGCACTTTGGCATACACAATATCTAGCTGGAACTACTGATGCACATGTCAGTATTTTGGCTGTCCTATAAGTCACGTTCAAGACCATCAATTTAAGAGAAGAAGGCTCCGTTGGCATAGGTGGAATTTGGCAGAGCATGGAATTCGACACCCGGACTGTGAGCGTGGTATTTCGCCAGCGTCAATCGTCCGTTCGCATTACTCGAACGAGGAGGTCGCATTTGTGATTTCGGATGGGGGTCGTATTTTGGGGTTGAGTGAGGTTAACTACCTTTGGGAAAAAGACGAACTGACAAACTGGGGTCGTAAAAAGGGGGTTGCATTTTAAGAGTTTCGATTTGTTTGGGGAAAACTTCAAGAACAAAGCGGAAATGGCAAAAAATGGTGGAATCGCCGTTATACCAATTTCTTTTTCGCACCTCCGCAGGGCGGAAGTGGTGTAGTGGCAAGTGGCACGCTTACCACGCGAGCGGTCCGGGGATCAAATCCTGGGTCGTGAGTCGCCCGGGCCAACCAAGCCTTCCATCCCTCCGGGGTCGGTTAATTGGTACCAGACTTGTCTGGGAGGATAAAAACACTGACTTGTACATCGGCTGGCCCCCGCAAGTCATTGTATAGGCCACATCGCATTCAAACGCCACTACGAATGTACAAATGGAAGTAGAATGCGTGCCGCATCCCAAAAGGATTGATCAACGGCAAATGCTTTATCCTTATTCTTTAATCCCTTCCCCTTCTCCCACGCTCGATACCCGTTGGCTGCTGAAGGAGGAAAAAGAGGGCGGAGTTGAGCGTGTGGACTGGTCTCAGAGGTGGGGAGGGGGATGTGGCATCGCAAAATGTTTGGGAAAGTGCGAACGCGGCGCTTGACCCTTATGTCGCTCCTTCAACATTTTTTCACCAGTTCATCGCTACTCCGAGAAGGTGTCATAGAATCCATGTAACTCACTTATATAACCAGTGCACTTCACCACCTCCACTGGCCGTGCAGACGAGAATGCTATGAAACTCTTTTTCCACAATTGTTGGCTCAGCGCAAGGTACATCAGCAGCTTTGACCTGAATGCTTCAATGAAATCAGTAATCGATCCAAGCGATGTCTGGCTCTATACGAATGGAGAAACTGAAGAGGAAGCTTCGTTGTCTCCAGGCTTAACTGAACTAGAATATACCGAGCTGAGTGGTGTAGCGCGGAGTTTAGGTGGATTGAAAGCACTTCGCCTCTTCGTTCGATCCCGATTTCCCCATGACTAAACTGCCGATGTTCAAAATTCTGAAAAAAATATTTAATTACTTTTTAGAGAAAAGGTGTACAAGCCACCGAATTTCAGCTCACCTGCAATCGCAGTTCCACGGGTTTCTGTGAAGTTTTAATGTGGCCAGTCGCTTGTTCTTAGCGAATGTCATTTGGTGGAAGGCTCTGTAGTCGGTTGTGAGCCATGTCAAGTTGAATCAGGCTTGGCAGATAAGAGAATGCCTAAATTTCGAGAGTAAAAGGGTACATCCGGTCTCGGTGACAGCTAAATTTGGAGGTTGTCACGATGTGCAGCGCGCTCACTAGCGAATATCGGACGGTTTCGATAAAATGTCACTTTGGTGAATGTAGCTCGGAACAGGACCAAGACTGAGCCTAACCCTAGCGCTCGGCTTCAGTCGCAGCGCGTTCGAATTCAATTCTAGTGCAGAATCAAATTACAGAGTGAAGTGAATATTTCCCTATAGTACTCAGCAAGTACCCTACCAAAGTCTCAATGCTACGAATATCAGAGAGGTTCAAGGAGTTTAATTCCCACTAACCTGAACGTCGATGGCTTCGATTTCATTGTGTCGAAGGTCGAGCGAAAGAAGGCGAGAATTTTGGGCAGCTAAGGAGGGAATGAATCGTAATTTGTTCCTAGCCAGGGTAATCCGTCGCAGAAGAGGAAGATAGTCGAGAAAAAAATTCTGAATAATTGACTAAATCTATGATTTAAGGCAGATGATGGACTTTTGTCCTCGATTAATCTTGGTTGCCAACGAATGATATACGTTTTGAACTGGTCCATTATTTTGGAGGCGCCGCAGCCATTTTCCACTTTATTTTTTCGTGATAAACAGGGGGGTTCAAGAAAAGAAAACATTTTGTCTCCACATTGAACCAATTTAATCAGAACTTCGCTGAAATAAAAGCCAATGTCCAACCTACAATACAAGATCCTCATTTATTTCATTCCAGTAAATTTTCCATGCTGGCTGGCCTTCTATCACGTGCACACATCAAGAAATATCTGATCCGGAAAAATGTTGTCGGGTTGAGATCCCTAAACAAACAGGGTTGTTCAACGATTGTGTACTCGTTAGGACGTTCTCTGAAACCTGGTTGGCAGGGGTCTGCCAAACACAGAACGCCATATCTCTAGTAACTGCACAGCAAGAAATTGAATTCAAGAAATTATGTACGTATATTTTATGTTGTGAGGCCGGTGAAGGAGTGCTTACGTCTACTTACTTATGTATGAAGGGACTTTCCTAGTGAACCTTCAGTGAACAACTTCCTTCAAAAAAACGTTAATCTTTGCGACGGATCGACGAAAAGTGCGACATATGAAAAATGTTGCCCCCCCCCCGGTATTTATTCAATGAACTTTCATCACCATAATTCATCATACTGCAGACGTTCATCAATCAACGCTCTTATGTACGTTCATTATAAAGAAGGTATATTCGAAGAAAGCTTGAATCTCGGGTTTGGAATCACGTTCGTCAGCATGAGACTTCTTCTCGATGAGTACGGCGAGAGAAATAGGTTTGAATAGGTATGGAGCGTGCCACTTGCCACTACACCACTTCCGCCCAAAAAATAGTCCAATCTTGAATATTGTGGCTTTTGTACAGCTGCGATGATTAGTGCTAATTGGTGCCATTTGTAGCCGAATAAGCGCAAATTTTAGTCTTCTCTATTTTTTGGTGGTTTTACTTGGCCTAATACTTTATCTGGATCTTTAATGGTGATCATTTATGGGCTTTTCGACATCATTGCTTTCTGGCAGACCCCCACCCCCCAATTCAATTCTCTCCATTTCATTAAATTCAGACTCGAAATGGAAATTCTGATCACCCATCAGCTCCATGACTCTCTACTTCAGCCGTTCAACAAAAACCAACTTTTTCCAGAGAATTTTCGGTAAGGTGGACTACTTGTAGATGATACCTCTTCAACACTTCGGATGACATTTTCGCTGACGATGAGCGTCTCCAGATGCGACAATCCTCGAACGTCATTGATCGATAACCGGCCGATACTGTTTCCACGCAGATTTAAAGTAATTGTCGTCGATGGTAACTCGGTTGGAAATGCCCGTAAACCTTGAAAAGATTAAGTGAATTTCGCGAGAACAATATTTTCGATTTTCAAAATATCAAAAATTACTGAATTAATATCACAGACTTGGAGCTAAAACGCTACTTAGATCGGCTTCACTGCAATTATGGAGCGGCAGTCTAAATACCTAGGGATAAGGCACCAACAATTTGAGCCGAGTATCATTTTTCGGGCCGGCCTTTATAGATTTCTCCAAGAGGAAAATCGAGCTCAAGGCAATAAGTGCTATGGCTGGGAGGTGGAGCTCGCTCCGAAACGTCTTTGCTAGAAAGATGCTGTACCAGTGTCAGACTTGGCGAATCCATCTTTCCGCCAGTAGCAATTTCGTGGGTTTGCTAGGAATTGCTGGATCCGCAGTCTAACGCCGGCCTTAGGAAGCGGTCTGACCGCGCCTACTGACCTCCCCCAACCGCCGAAGCACTTGTACAGGCCTAAGGCCGATGTCATAGTTTGCGAATCGAGCGAATCGCTGGATCCGAGCGTTGCGCCAGCGAATCGACGATGCACCAGCGAGTCGAACTATGTACCAGCGACTCAACACTGTTGAATGGAACCCAACGTTCAAAGGAAAGCCCGCCCCTTTCAAACAGTGTGGTCCTCCTTTAAACGTTGGGTCCCGCCACTTTCAAACAGTGTCGAGTCGCTGGTACATCGTTCGACTCGCTGGTGCAAGTTCGATTCGCTGGCGCAACGCTCGGATCGCAAACTATGACATCGGCCTTAAAAGACGTTGAGCCCTAATGATCAATTTTATCGTCTAAGTAGTTATGAAATAGAAAGAAAACTCAAAAATACCTTTGTGGGAGCAATCAACGACGGTTTCGGTGCAATTACATTGGGATGGACATGCGGGAATTGCCTCTGACCAGGTTAGCAAACCCAGAAGGAGGAACAACATTCCTGAAATTTCGAAATTCGGAAATAAAATTGAAAATTCGGTCAACGGGAAGTAAAACGACGTGACAAAAATGATTTTTTTCCTTTCGAAAAAACCGTTTCAACAAATCTTCTTAACGGCAATGGTCGGAAGGTGCGTTTGCGAAATGCATGATAGGAGGATCACCATTAGCTCTGCCTAAGCACAGTATGCGCCAATATATGCCCCCGCATATATTAATCCAACAATTAATGAGCCGGTCAGAAGGAAAAAGACGATATCCCTTGGATGGCGTTGCAGATGCAATGGCAGCGGCAGACTCCACGACATAAATATAATAAGGGGTGAAACTCCAGTTCGGGGGGGGGCACTCCATTGCTATCTTATCCGTAGTACTAGAGAGCAGTTCTTTGGGCTATCGAACACTACGGATAAGATAATAAGTGAACGACTCATTTCGAGCGTACTTTTGATAAGGACCGGTGGATGTCCTACATTCCACACTACCTGCCCACATCCCATCCACTTTTCTGCACAGGTGATCCACCCTGGAGCTCCTGCACCCTTAGCCCTTTGCGGAGGTGTCCTTTCTCCTGGTCCAGGACCGTTCCCTTGGGTCATGGCAGGCGGAAATGTGAAAACGGTTTCTCACCCATTACACCAATATTTATCAGAAGTCTACTTTAAATGAGTCGATTACGTGTCGTGAGCCCTCTAATCCTTATCTGAGTAGTGGAGAAAAAATGGAG